TTCCAATGTTCATCGCCATGGGTTTCGTCGGAGAGGATCTTGCGGTTGGGTATCAAGGCGGCAGGGTCGCGTGTTACTGCTGTGGCAACAACGTCGGTATAGCCTTCATCTCTAAGAAGGGAAACCACTTTGTCGACGTGATTTTGATACGTCAGATCGGCCATTATGACCAACTTCACGGTCTTGTAGCTGAACTCCTTCTTGATTTCGTCCAATGTCACCTTGTAATCGAGATCGTGCGTGGTGTAAACGTATATCGCAGGAAGATGACTCGTGGGACTAAGACACGTTCGACCATAATGAACTACCACATCTGCTGAAACATGCTCGGCAGCTATTTCATCCACGCAGCAGGCGCTGTAACTGCTGTCCGCAAGAACGTATATCCTCCTCTCAGCCTTGCCCTCTTCCTGGACATCATGGGCGCTAAGTTCTTTCGACAAAGCCTCTACAACACGAGGAGCGTCTACCAGCATAAAATCTGGAAACTGTAAGCCGATGCGCCTCCATCCTCCAGCGCGGATCTCATCGGCTGTGCGGACAACCTCGTACGTTTCGCGGAGGGCATCGTCGGAGAGTGTGGATGTTGGGATGGAGTCGGCGGCGGGAACTTCGAGGATGTGGTCGTCGGGAGTTGAGAGGACGGGAGGGGCTGCGAGATCGGACGCCATCGTGGCAGAAGGGTCAGAGTATGAAATGGATGTGAAGTTTTTTGAAGGTTGGTGATGATAATATTTTGGTGGGGTTTTTGGTGATGGAGGGGAGCGGGTGTCAATGCGGGGTCATGGTGTGGATTTTAGCATTCTGGTACCAAACCATTTGGGGATCTCGTCAATAGGAGCAACTAAGTAATCCGTAAATCGACGTCAATTATTTTGGTATTAATGAAATGCTGTAAAATGCGCACTGGTACAAAGCCTTTGATATCGGCAGTTTGATATCTCCCGTTTTGGCTGACTGGCTTTGTTCGGAGTAATCTGATTGGCTCCACGACATTCAAATCACGAACGAATCAAGTAACCCGTCAATGTAATCACCGCTACTCGTCAGCTGGGGAATGAAGAATTCGTAAATATACGAAATGCCTACTTGGTCGAAGCTAATAAGTCCCAGCATTATTTATCTCAAAGATATCGCTCAACGCCCCCTTGAGCCCGGTAGCAAAGTGGCCCTCTTGACCCTTTGGTATGTATCCTCGGCGTCTACTTGCTCACGAATTCATGGAGGGGCAAATCACATCCCCTGGTGAGCAAGTAAATGATGTGCCTAGTACACAAGGTGACTCTGACTATGATGCATTGATATACTGATTCTTCAAGGCAAGATCCACACTTCATAAGGACCAAGCGCGCATGTGAATAACATACGTAAGTACTAAGCCTCTTGATCACAAACTCCCGATTAAGGTTTCCTACCTCGGGCTACTACCGTCCCGGGGCCCGTAAAGAACTGCCGAACAATGTAACGGAGAATATATACAGAGAAGACTTCCGATTCTCATATGATTTGAACTTCCGAGTCCTAAATAACAGAACTGAAGTTACAGTCGTAGACTCGTCTACCCCGGTCATGTCTCAATTAGGAAATCCGTGTACCCAGTTGGGTAATCAGTGTATGCATCGTCAGTGAGAAACACCACGATGCTGTTAGTCAACATCCACAGCACGCAGTGAACCACTCCTTTATATGGGAAATTCGTGTGACATTGAGTGCGTAAGCCATGATAGATTTATCTTTATATAAGGGCATCTGCCGGCCTTTTTCTCCTTCTTTAACACAAAACATAGCCATGGAAGACACATCACATCAACATCACTTCCTCGAAGGCAAAACCATCATCATCGCTGGCGGTGGTGTTTCTGGATCAGCATTCGCTGTTGGACTGCGCAAACTATGGAATCCCCAGTTCAAAAAGCCCAAGATCATTATCTACGACCGCGACTCGCCGGACGTAAGCGCTCAACGTGAAGGCTACACACTATCTCTTACCGGATATGACACTTCGGGAGGTCTCATTGCCCTGAAGAAACTAGGTCTTATCGAAAAAATTGTAGACAATGCCGTGTCTGGACTCAATGGAGAGGGTGCTTTCAAGATATGGGGACCCAATTGGCATGAACACGCAAGCTTCCGCCACGAGCCAATTGAAGAGCTGCCATCTTCCAGCGTTAGGATAGCACGCAAGGATCTCCGGAAGGTCCTCCACGATAGCCTCGGACCGGAAGACTCGGTCCAGTGGAACTCACGCTGCATCTCAGCGAGGAAAACGGACCAAGGACAAGTGCGAGTTCAAGTCGCAAGTGGACACCCCGGCGATGAGACGATCACCGACGAGGATTGTGACCTGCTTATTGCCGCTGATGGAGCGAATAGCAAACTCCGAGGATACCTTCGGCCAAACGACAACCTCGAATTTGCCGGTGCAATTCTCCGAGGTGGCATTGCTCGATTCGATGGCCCTCCTCCAGCGCCCATTGACAAAGACTGGGGCTTCATGATTTCGGGAACCGGCGTGTCATGCTTCTTTTCTCCAGTCGACAAGAACAGCGTTGTATGGGGCGTTGGCCATCTCGAGAACGAAGAGGTCCCCATATTAGATCTCAAGAACGACAAAATGGTACAAGAAGTGATCGACCGCAGTCTCGATCTTGGGGACAGGTTCCAGGATCCTTTCAGAGACATCGTTGAAAGGACAGATACGAAGACCGTGTTTGCTATCAACGCAAAGGACAAGAAGGCTTTCACACATGACGATATTGACCGGATGGGCGTTATTTTCATTGGCGATGCTAACCATGCCGTGACACCTTTTGCTGGCTGTGGAGCGAACCTGGCGTTATGTGATGCGTGGAATCTGGCAGAGGCTTTATGTGTAAGCAGTTCTTTAGGGGAGGGCATATCAGCGTATGATGGACAGTCAGAACCACGGGCGAGAGGGATCCTCGAGCGAGCGCGTGAGAAGTTAAAGTCAGGACATAAGGGGAGATTGTAGTTTTAATAAGATAATGCAGCTTAATAAGATATAAAAAAAGTCTTTAACTTGACTATAATAAAAGTATTAGCATTTATAAGGTTCGCTGTCAGGGAATTTAGTAGAGGAGTAGATCTCAAGATTAAAGCCTTGAGTCGTGAACTGAGATTAGTGTAATAAGGCTATAGATCTTGAGCAACAGATAAGGCCGAGCAAAATACAAAACCTAGGAGACATAGATAAGGTAAGTAGCTCAATACAATTGGCCACGGTGAAATGTGAAAGTCCCCCCAAGTCCCCTCGATAGCCCAAGTACCGCGCATAAGGCCAGGTTGCGTTGAGACACCTCTGAATAAAACTGCAGTCACGTTCCTTGTCCGGGTGTCCCTCCTTTCTCGTCGAGTAGTGGCCTACCTTTCCCAATTACCTGCGTACGTAAAAAGCCGTTGTATACTGCAGTTTGTTAGCAAGCCTCTTGTAATTTGTGCTATTATTCTGCTTCTGGGTTGATTGAATAGCAAATAAGTGGTGTAGGTACTAGGACACATGTTCTTCATGTCTCCCAACATGATATGCCCTTTGTAGATCTGCAGTCCTCTTGCAAAGCGGGAAAGCTGACAGATGTGCAAGCAAAGGGAGGAAGATGAGAGCCCAGGCTATGGCTATGGCTATAGATACCTATACCCACATGAACAGTATCGCTATCACTATGCTCTGCTATAGTCCTAGACGCAGCTTGTACAATTAAACAACGGACTAAAGACTCTAGATCAATCTATGATGGTTTATATATACGAACTTGTGGTCAAGAGTAATTGGGCCAGGTGACGGAGCCTGACTTCCCGTACTGTCAGCTTAACGCCTTGGCTTTACCTGCACGAAGAGACCCATCCCAAAACGTCTAACTTTACTTACCTAACTGCATGAGAATCTCCCCTGAATCTGAGAACCCTTCCTGCTTTGCCCTCCCTTGAGGCATAAAAAACTATACATGCGAACTTCAAGACAATACATATCCCGAATACTTGCGTGAAGAGATATATAATAGCCACTTCTCCCAAGACGAGGTCTCACGTTTCCATAGCAAACAGGTTGCTATCGGATTGAGTGACTGAAAGGCAAAGGGGGAAAGCTACCCATTACAAAGCTGTTACCCCTGAAGAGCTGAGAAATTGTACTATCCACCGGCTGTGCCAGATCCCCGCATCAACTAGCTGAGTGAAGACGTTATGGACCCGTCGGGTTGCTTGTGTCACTGCAGAGGCTGCAGGCTCAGGCACGGAAGGATTTGATGAGAGTCTAGAAGAGGCTACCGAATCAGGATTTCTTTCGTCTCACATGGTGGTACTGTAAGGCAGTGTGGGAGAAAACGAATGGGCTGGTCTCCTCGAAACTGCACTGGTGGGGGCGAAACCTTTGCTGACCGGACCACCCAAAACTTGCAGGTTCTTGGGCTGCCCGGGGGTTATTGCTCTCACCATCACGATACTGTTGGAGGTCTCAGGCAAGCTGTAGTCAACAGTAGCATGGAGTACCTATGGACGGCAACTCTGACACCCAGGTGCAACTTGCCCTCCAAGACATCTGGGGCGACACTGTTTTGGCTCTGATAGCCATCTTTGTTCTGCCCGGCGATTGACCAACCTTTTTGATTGCTACCCTTGCCTGGAAAATCGGTTCGGGCCGTACCTAGTGTGGATTGGCGAGCGAGGTATGCTCCGGCACCCGTACAAGAAATGGCTGGTGTCAGCCCTGACAAGGCTTATTTGGGCTTCATGACCAACGCCGGTTATGGGTACAAAACCGGTGTCCCCCTGTTCCAGGATAAGGAGACTTTGTATAGGTCTATCTTATAAACGAAAGTTTCAACTCGCGCCCCGCCATCAAGCTTCACCGACACCATGATGTGAAAGGGGCAAGATTGGAGAATAGAGAACTATACTACAATACTAGGAAAGGCTCGAGTAAGTATACTGGTCAAATTTGTGACACTCCCTACTTATGCTCTAGAACTACCTACATTTTCAATTTAAAATACAATCTCCATTTCTTCCCCACCAAGGCTAATATCAACGCGCTCCATCCCCTCTTCCTCCTCGTCTAGCACATCAGCCCACGTAACGCTATGCTCGTCAATCTCCAGGACGACCTTCCCGTTCTTGACTGTTTCATAATTATCGTCAGACTTGTCATCACTCTTGATCTCATCCTGCTCATCGCTTTCCTCGTCGCTACTGATATCACTCTCCTCCGACTCAGATTCGCTATCTCCACGGTGTTTCTTGGCAAAAGACTGCGAAGCTGGCAAATCTGGACCCTTTTTTTTCAACATCATGGCGTTGTCCATACCCAAAAATGACTAGACAACCGATCTCCGCACAGTCTTGTACTGGAGAGCAAAGATGTTACTCCCAGCGCTTTTGCCAGAGAACTCGGCTGTATCTTGGTGACTTTGCGACCCGAAAACGCCTGGGTCAGTGAGTTCAGAGGGGAGTAAGATGCCTGTAGTGCTCGAGACAATCGTGGACACCGGCACTGAAACACCGGCCGAGATTGTGACCCCGCGTTCTCTAGAGTGCGTGAAAGTTGCATCCTGCCAGATGAGCACCGCAGTAACCATGAAACCAGCATTACGGCCGCGAGCTAACATCCGTTGGAGTTGAGATCTTGTTTCCTCATGCTGGATCAACTGATCAAAAGCTTGGTCGTAATTCTGAAGACGTACGCAGACGACCTCGGAGCTAGTGAAGGAGAGGGCTCCGCCATTTCTGGTTTCTCGGGAGACGTCAACTGTTGCGCCGAGTTTGGCAGCAAAGGACTTGTTCCGCTGTGATAATGCGGCGAGGCTGGCGTTGGCGATAGTGCTTCTTGCAAATTCGTGCGTTACGAAGGGCTTCGGATCATCTGGCACAAAATTTGCGTCTGGCTTGGAATAGGATTTGACGATCCGGCCGAGCCAAGTTGATAAGGCCGATGCCGGTAGATACCGTTCTGGGGGGAGTAGATAGAACGAAGGTCGGGCTCGTTCTGTAGGCATGATGATAGTGAGGATGATGATTTGATTCTGTTGATCGATTACAGGGCAGTTATGTATCAAGGTACCGTAGAAGCAATTCCTCAGATCACAAGTGAGGACAAGACACCGAGGAGAGCACAGACTGATTCGACTGCATTTTCAGTTATCCTAGGCGATCTGAAAATCATTGTAGATCGTTGCTGCCCAAACCCCTGCCAGCGTGGGCCTTTCTTACCAATGCTCGTATATAGTTCCAATGGGGCAACAGTCTTTATTCGTTTCTCGTCAGTGTAGTTCGGCAACGGTGCCGTCCTGCGAAGCGAACAGCGGCGACTACATATAACTAGGTTTCGCTCCTCATCAAATGGGAACGTCACATTTAGCCTCCCGAACTCAATCACAAGAAGTAATAAAATGACCGTTGTCAATATCGCCCGACGAGATGTTGAGCCTTCCCAATCGTAAGACCTTGACGGTTTACATCTTTTCGACGTCAACATCGCCAGAGACCATGACGGCACATCTCGCATCGGATCAAATACCTCAGTTACCATCCGTCCTCTTCTTCTTCTGGCAACTGGTGCCCCGGGCCATATTGAGCCACCGAATGGCGGGCACTGGGTTAATGAACATGTGCAAGACATGATGAGTGTACTGCAGACGCAGATGAACTCTCCATCGACTTTTACGGAGAAAAAGTAGTCATTCGTATTGGAGAGCAACCTTGGTTCAACAAGGATAACTCTGAGGATCACAACACCGAGGACCATATGTCCATGCAACGAGTTCTATGGGAGTTCCTAGAGCGACTCGAGGTATGGAAACCTACGATGCGGCCGATCGAGGTCAGCGTGGTGCAGACACTTACTACTGGCCCTCCCCAACATCTCAGCCAGGATTACAAAGGCAGCAAGGCTGCTGACCAGGAGAACGAAGGACAAAGGAGGGTCCTTGTGTTGTCGTGTCGTGCTCCTGGCCGTTCCACTCATGCCAGCGAGCTCTCTCGCCCAGTCTCGCGTACCATCCTCCAGGCGATAGGAGGTCCTACAAAAGTCATCTTTGTACGCCCTGGGTCCTTTAGTGCCCTGAAGACTGAGCTTGAATCCCACCCCAAAGGCTACTTCGCTGCCATTCATTTAGACATGCTGCTTGTCCACAAGCGCTCTCGAAAATCCGATCCCGAAGTTCCCAGAATCTACTTCCAAAACGTCAACCAAAATAAGTCTGAAGTGATAGAGGAGGACCTTAAAGCCGTCGATAAAGTTGCTGCACTGCTTCTGCTTCATGGTGTTCAAGACGTTGTCATTGTTCCCTGTCCGCATGCTAGGTCCGCCGTCGAGACGGCAGCTACAGTACTTTTGAGCGGTGGCATACAGACCGTGGTTACTTCGGCCTACCATATCACTGAAAATAGTATCGAGGCATTTATAAGATCGCTCTACACTGGGTACATTCATCAGAAACTTCCCTTAGAAGAAGCCGCTCGAACAGCTCGACAGTGCTTGAGGGGAAGTGAGGTTGATGAGAGGATGCCTATTTGTGATTTCGTGGCGCTGACTTACGTCAAACCACAGTGGCTTCCATCTATTAGCTTGGACATTGACTACAAGTCTCTCAAGCAAGAGCAGAGCTATCCTAACACTTTTCAGGGGCGAGAACATGACATTGTCCACATAGAATCAATACTTTTGCTAGGAAAGCCACTGCCTCTTTTGATCTATGGAATGTCTGGCATTGGAAAGACGGCTCTTCTGAATCATTTATGTTCATGGTGGAAGGCTTCGGGTATGATCAAAGATGCAATCCATATACACCTCAGCTTGAGCGAGCCTTTCAACAAGGATAACATGATACAACAGCTGCAACGCCACTTTGTTCCGAACTCTACTCTAGACTCAGAAGATACAAACTCTTTATATGAGCATTTTGAGAGTCACAAATGTCTCATCATGATCGACGACCTCGACTCAGCGAACTTCAACCGACAACAAGGCCAATTCATGAATCTTACCTCCAAGCTATCCAAGTCTGGTGCGCTTGTCATTCTTGCTTCGCGCAAGCGAGAGCGATGGCTGAGTAAGGCAAAGGTATACAGACTTTCCGGGCTTCAAACTCGACCAGCAACTCTGTTGGTGATGGATCCCGAATTCAGGGACCGCGTCACTGATAATGACAACCCTTCATCCCCTGAGATAACGGCGAAGAACAAGACACAAGAAGTGAAAGATTACCTTGGGGTGTTGTTGAGATGGTAAACGGAAATCCGCAGGCTATAGAGATGATGACTCGCAGTGGGCTTTACTGGTCGAGAGCTCCGAAAGAGATATATTGCTTTTTACTCGGACTTCGTTCAAACCGCCCTTCTGCGCATCCTGCGAAGTTTGATACTTCGGACACCGAGGATGAACCTGAAAAGCCACGCAGCAGAACGCGTCTTGATGGTGTATATGAGAGTCTACAAAGTATGGACTGGGGCGACGGATTTCTACCCACATTACTTGCGCCGTTCATAGGTGTTCTGCCGTCCAAAGATCTCCTCATGGTTTTCTACATCTGGAGCATTAGAGTGGCCAAGGTTCTAGGAAAAGCTGCATCTACACGGCTTGTGCGCGCTGTACTCGAGTCCAATGCGTTTTGCAGAGACAATGACAAGCTCACAGAAGATGCACGCATCTCCATTGAGGCTTTACTGAAGGCTGCTAGAGTAGCCGAACCTGAGGAAGACCTGGCGTTGCAACTGGACTTGTCCGGCTCCAGCGTTCTGTTTCATAACGACCTCGAGTTTTCCGAACCACTGTCGCCCGCTGGCAGCTTCCTGACTGCCATGTGTCATCGCATCAAAGATGGGCTTATTGATGGTGGAATGCTTGGAGAATTCACCGAGGTGCCGCATTCTTTGATCACAACAGACCGAGGAATTATGCGTTTGAATCCACTGGTTCCTTTGCTTCTCAGGCAGCATCCAGCCTACAAAAGCAACTCATTTTCACTCCAATCGACAGTGAACGAAGCATTTGTACTATACTACTGCTATAGAGGGAAGAAGTAAGTTAGAAACGATACTCGTGCACGCAATAATTGTTGCATGTTCGTGTTGCTGACCCATCAACAGATGACCGTGGGACTGTTGGGATGATTATCGCTCATGGGCAATAGCTGATGCTGAGATCGAGATCGAATTCGACAATTTTGCATCCGCCTGCATGGCTGGCCTCCTACACGTCGACCTCGACACAATTCATCTGATGGGACTGATGCGAATAGCCGCTGTGCTCGAGCATGGTGCCGGCGAAAAGTTCTACTACAGAAAAACTATACTTTCCCAAGTGTGGACTGTCGCTCTGGCTAGAACCTTTGCAGAGTTCAACAAGCTTAAAGGCGAGGGTCGAAGCCGTTAGACCGAGATATACATGTTTTTGTTGGCTGCTATGTATTTCAGCTCTGAACTAGGTCGATTCCATAATCTCGACCGCGAGTCGGACGAGGTGGCCAAGTACAAAGGCCTCATCACCCAGTTCGCCGTGTTGGCCAGCAAAGTCGTCCCGGAGACTGTTGAAGTAAAAGCACAGAAGGAGAAACTATCAGGGAAGAAAGAACTTGAACGTCTCGCTCGAATGGCGGCGGATCCCGATCAAGATATCCTGTACTCGATCCGGGGTCAAGTCAGGCGCGTTTTTGTATGGATCTCGAACCCTTTTGTGACCAGCTCCTTTGTGGGACCAGCGACCACTACGTCGGTATCGGTTGATGTTGAACTGGCTACTATGTTATCATTCTCAATAGAAGTTCGTCGACATATAAGCCTAGTTGATGACGCTGAAGAGGCAGCCAAGAGAGATGATTGGACTATGGCTGATGAGGCGTTGAACAAGGCGCTTAGGTTGGAGGTAAATGTTACGGAGAATGATTGCACGAGTAGGATTGGATTGATCCAACTACAAAAGATGGTTGCGGAGAAGCGAAAGGATAATGAGAGGGTTCGTCAACTTGCAGATGAACTATTGCAGCTTGAACTAATCGTGGCAGATGTGGATAAGGACGGCAAAGTGTTTAATGATTCTGATAATTAAGGAGAAACTATAAACTTAAGATAGTATTTAGTATTAGCATCTTAAGAAGGGGCTAGTAGAAATAAGAAATAATATTAAAAATAATATTTTAAGTATAATAATAAGGGTTTTTAAAATAAATAAATTAGTTTTAACTAGGTTTATATTTATAAATTATATAAATTATTATATTTAATAAATTATAAAATACTATATTTTTTAATAATAAATATATTTAAAAGTTAATATACTTATTTAATAATATATAAAGTAAAGCTAAAGGTATTAAAATAAGATAATAAAATAAAGTATTTATTTTTAATATAATATAATATAAGATATTTTATATTTTTTTTATAAGTTTATAAGTTAGCTTTAAAAGATATATTTAAGTATCTCTAAAATTTAATATAATTTAAATATTTATTACCCCTTAGTAAGTAAAGCTTTATTAAGTTAATGTTATTATAATTAGCTGCCTTAATTATAGCCTAAACCTAGCTATATATAACCTAGCTAAAGGGCCTTACTTACTCTTTAGCTAGCCTTAATCTTCTTCTTATAATCTACTTTAAAGGCCACTTTATTACTAACCCCTATAATATACTTAAATTATCTACTGCCTAGTAAGTAATTTAATCTAATTTATAATTATAATTACTAATAGTATTATAGCTTTGTTACTATAATACTTATTATTAGAAGAAGCCTATAAATACCTAATCCTAATAAGCCTTATTTAATAAAAGGCTATAATATAACTTATAAAATTAAGTAAGCTATTAAGAAAGATAATTATAATAAGCTTTATAATATAATAATAAAAATTAAAATAAACTAAGGAAAAAAAGATAATACTAGTTATATTAAATTAGTAATCTTTAATTATAAGATCCTCCTACTTATATAGCCTTATTATTAGCTAATTAATAAAGGCTTTTTTAATTATAAGATAAAGCTATTTCATAAGCTAAAAGGGAAATTACTTAAAGAGGTAAATCTAAGCTAAAGGGAAAGGGAATTTATTAAGGCCCTTTATAATAGCTTATATAATAAGTAGCTTAAGGCTATTTAGTAGTAGGCTAAGAAGATATTAAAGAAAACTAAGGCTTAATAATATATAAACTAGGCTAGTTATAGTTATAAATTATAAGAGCGCGATTAAGATAAGGGGGATAATATATTATATAATTTAGAATAAAAAAGAGGTAATTATAGGGTTTTATAAGAAGAAAAGATATTAAGTTTTTTATAAGTTTAATTACCTAAGGTTAAAGACCTAAAGTTATAATATTAGTATTAGTAGTATAAAGAGGGTTAAATAAGTTATAAGATATAATATATAATAAATTTAATAAATTAGCTAAATATTAATATATTACTAATATAAATAGGGAATAAGGTATTATATATTATATTAAAAAATATAATAACCTTAATATTAAATCTTAGTAAATTATATAATTATTACCTTAGACCTTAAGATTTAATTAAATAAATAGCCTTAATTTATAAATATAAAAAAGATATTTTTCTTATTCTTAGTAAGCTAAATGCCCTTTTTATTATTATCTTCTTAAGGTAATTATTACTAAGGCTTTAATATTAAAAAGCTATTTTAAAGTAAGCTAAAAACCTTAATTTTTATTATAAGATATATTATTATATAATTATTATTAATAATAATTAACTTAGTTATAATTATTTAATCTTAGTAATTAATAATTATATAATTAATCTTTTTTAAGTATTATTTAAGTATATTTATTTTTAACTTATATTTCTCTTATTATATTATCTTATAAACTAATTTAATTTATTACTAACTAATTCAGCTAGCCTTAATTTCCTAATATTTATAGTTTTTCCCTAAATATTAAAACCTTTTTTTCTTAATTTACCTTTTTTCTTTTTTATTTCTCTTTCTTTATCTTATAATAGCCCTTAATTCTTATAATATAATATTTATATTATTAATTTAATTAACTAAATTATATATTTTAATTTTCCTAAGTGTTATTTAACTATGTTTATCCTTAACTTATGTTTCTCTCACTGTGTTATTTTATAACCTGATTTAATCTTTTAGTTAAATCTTAAGGTTTAAGGCAGCAGCTATATAGTCTGCTAAGACTTAATATTAAGGTTATTATGTTCTTTAGTATAATATATAATGCCTTATATTATATTATATTTAAAATAAATACCTTATTTTATTATCTTACTTTAATACCTTTAGCTTTACTTTATATATTACTAAATAGGTATTTTAATTCTAAAAAAGAATATCTTAATTTTATAAATTATATATAATATAGATTATTAGTATTACCTAATACAATTCTATTAATAAAAGCTTATTATTATTTTAATATATTCTAATTATGTTTTAAGTAATTAACTAAGTCTTTTAATACCTTTGTTTAATTTATAATATATTTAATAATAAATATATTTTATATAATA